ACTCCAATTCTTATCGATAAAATAATCTAGAAAAGATAAAATGATTAAATACTAGAAAAATAAATGTATGCCATTGCAGCAAATTTATGAAATACTTCAAAATTTGAGAAATTTAATTACTAATAAAACAATAAATTTTAACTGAAATAACTACTATCCCTGAGTGAGAGTGCATCATTATAATAAGTTAATATTTCTAATAAGATATGTCAAAGGTGTGGAAGAGAGTTAAATGCGTAATCAATCAAGATTCAAAAAAAAAATTCAGAGTTTAGCATTGATTAATTAATTTGTAATTTGGTAACTAAATTTTAAAGTTGAAGACCAAACATTGAGGTTTGGTTAGCTTAATTTCATAAATTCATTGTGATGTTAATAAGTAAAGTATACTATATATATAATAGCTATATATCTGAGGTTTTGATTTGATGTTCAGAGGTTTGTTGTAAAACTCAAATTTCTGAGAGCTTCTTGTACTATTATATGTATCTTTACTTCAAGATCTGCAACATGCTTCATACAATCCTCGTGTATTGTTTTTTTGTTCATTACTCTAAACTGTGGCTGCAAATTGTTAACAAATTTCAAAAATTTCTTATGTTCAACTATATGAAAGGGATATCCATGCATGATAACCATTTTCACTAAATCTTGGTGGCTTCTCTCTTGAGAGAATTTGTAAACAATGACATCAGAAGAAGAAAGTTGCAATTTTTGTTGTGATTTAGTTTGAAGATATTTACTGCATTTTGTATTTTTTAAATATCGAATCAAGATACTAGTTTCTGTTTTATTAGTGTCATATTTAAAAGTACTCTTACAATATGCATATCGGATATGATCCTCTAACAATTTACTTCATTATTAACAAACCAAAAAAAAAAAAAACTAATTATTTGCATTATTACTTTGTTTGTTATCTTTTTTGAAATGTTTCTCTTCAAAAACCCATGATGGAGCTTTACCAACTTTACGTTTACCATTATTAGAGATTACTTCTAGACTTTCATTTTCATTTTTACTACTAATCAGATCCATATTTGTTTCTTCAACTAAATCCATACTTGTCTCTTTAATTAAATCCATACTGTTAAATTTTTTGTTTTCAAAAAAAAATCTTTTTAGAAGCTAATATCCTTTTATATGAATCTTAAATTCAAGATAATAGCATCCACATGTTATTTCAAATAAAAGGGTAAATTTCAAATTCAATTGTTACTATAATATAAATCTATTGATAAATTACATGAGATACATATTATTTTGGAATGTGCATAGGCCTAATTCGAGAATTTATTGTATATTATTTTACATGCTTCTTTCTTAATCAAGATATCAAATCGCAAGCATTATTAGCCAAAAAGCAGAAACAAGAACTTACACTGTAAAGTCAAGGAATTATTCTTAAGTACATACATACATATGTACATGCAAGAAAAAATTATTTGAAAGTATAAAGATCTAGATGATTAAAAAAAAAAATTATGTTAGTAAGAAAATTCATGAAATTATAGTACTGCACATGCAAGAAGGAATTATTTGATTGAAAGTAAGAAAATCCCAACGATTGATATGCACATGCAAGAAAGGATTATGTTATTGAAGGTGAAAAATTCATGAGCTCATATGTATTAAAGTGTTCAGACTTATATGATTTCAAGAACTTTTCATTGTTCAAACAATGAAAATATTTGAAATTGCATAGGTCTGGATTAGAGTTAGTAGTCATTAGAAGCAAAATAGTAAGCAAAATTAGAAAAATAGCTTATTACTAAATTTATGTTTGCCAAATCTAAATTTTAATGTACGTAGCCGTATATTCTTTAATCTATTATTTTAGTAAGTTCTCTAGTCATCATTTAAGAACAAAAGTAATAGTCACATGCTTAGTATAAAAGTAGCAAATTTCAGCATCTTAGTATAAACTATTTTGCTAGCTATTTTGCTAAAAAATAGCACTATTTTAGATGCAACCAAAAGCCACTGGCTCTGGTTTGGATATTCTAATGTGTACAGCACATGAAAGAAAGAATTATTAGTTTGAATATGAGAAAATTCAGATGGTTGATACGCATATACAAGGTTATTGGTGAGAAAATCCAGACAATTGATGAGCCTTATGTACAGTACATGCAAGAAAGAGTTATTTTATTGAAGGTGAGAAAATCCAGAGATTGATATAATTTTAGTTAAATTGATCTTAAATTATTGTGATAATTAAATTCTATAGATCCTACAAATTCTGCAGCAATGCACGAAATTCCTTGTGCAGACCTCAATTGTCACACTAATTTGGAAATAAAAAAAGTTACGTTGCATCTATGTACGTACATACATTGTGAGAGGAAAAGTTAATTCAAGATCATCATTGAAGTAGTATGGTGCAATCTAACTAAATACAGTTAAAATCTACCAAAATTGTCATTACTGACAGAACTGGCAGAAATGTCTTTACAGTCAGAAATGACAGAACTGACAGAACTAACAGTTCTGACAGATATGGTCGCATCAATAAAAAAATTTGTAGTAAATTACTATAGTGAAAAAATGTACTTAAGCAGAAGTATTTCACTGTAAATAAAGAACAACTCCCCTTAAGTTCAAAAACTACGAAAGTATTTCTCTTAAAGTCTCTACTTAATAATAAAATCATTAATGTGTATCGCATTTTCTTGTCCTTGTGATTCATAAAGACTAGTTATCATTAGTGCGTTAAAAGCAAAAGAGAAAGATCATATTAGTAATCGACCTTTACTTATATAGAATTGTTAAAATTAATTAAGTTTGTGTTTAACCCTATTGTTAAAAAACCATTGAATTATGATTCCGTGATGCATGACACTGAAAATCAGAGCATGAAAATTCATTGAAACCCAGGTGCACCTGAAGAGTAAAAAAACTAATATAGTAGGTACTAGTAGAGAGAATTAAAAAGTAATAAGAAGTGCCAATAATATCAGTAAATTCCAGTATAAAAAGTAGTAAGCATACCTTGAAATCAGCCTCGTGACTGTCGCAGCATCGAATTATACCCTATTTCGGACCAAATCACACCTCATTTGAAGCCTACCAGTTAGGGTGTAAATTAAAAATATTACCAAAATTAGTAGTCTTTGTGTTAGTATTAGTGAAATATCTACCTCTGTTAGATTAGTTTTTGTTTTTTATATCTCTTTTAACTGTTACAACATGCATCAAGTAACTAATTTATATGTTTTACAGAACAATTTATGTATTGTGTTAAATTTTCGAAGTTATAATAGTAGAATAGATGAGAACAAAATTCAAAATCCAGAAATAAACTTCAGCTTATACATTTTTACTATCAAAACTAACTAAGCTAACTATTCAAAAAAAAGCTAAAAAAATACACCCCAAAAAATTTTAAGAATTTTATATTAAAGTAATTTAAAATTTCCAGCTTCAACATTTATTATACTTAAGATTTATATTCAATAATTTGTAAAATATATATATATATAAATAAAAATAATAAATTCTAATAATTTGGATTTAACGAAATTCGAATTATAGAAGCCGAACAAACCAAGTAGGAGATAATTTGTACTTTAATTGAAATAAATTCAAATATACAATATATAGTTGAGATTTGGAAATTTTAGAAAATTATTTCACGAAATATAATGTAATTATAAATTATTAATCATACTTTATTCATATAAAACTTATTGATATACATCTTCAAATACATATACTTGAAAAATCTTTTGATCTTCTTCAATAAAAAATGATTAATATTGATTTAAAGAATGATAAATGATATAGAAACTGAAGCATGCAAAAAGTCTTCAAGAACATGAAATGGATGAAATAAAAATACATTTTACTGTTTAAACAAATGATGTGTTAAATACTTTTTTTTTTTTAAAAAAAAAAAGTACCGGGAAATAACAGTCACTTATGCATTTCTGTAAACTATAAGCACCCTCAGCACTCCAAGCACTCCTGATTATATTAATAAAGCAGAAAATTAAGTAACTTTGAATTTCGTATTTGGTATTAACAGGCAAATAGAAAACCTGAAACAGTTACGTTAATTTAAATCTTCAAATTGATCATTAAAAAATATATCAATGTAAATTATTAATAAAAAAAAAATAATTTTTTTTGAAAATATTCGAATTATTTTCTAATAAAAATGACCTTAACTGAAAGCATTTAGGGTGTGAATAGTATTTTATACATATAAAATTTATAAAAGATATAGATAAAAAATGCAGTAGAAAATTTTATTTATGATTATAGAAAAGCTTACAATAGCTCAGAATATAACGACAGAAAAATGCTTTACTATCTTCATCAAAATACAATTCTTTATGATTATGTAATGAAACACAAATTTCTTCTATAATAAATAAAAAGAAAATTGACAGAAGGAAAAAAAATGCAATGCAATTTCTAGTTATGTATTTGTATAACGTAAAAATGGATTTGAAACTTAAATATTTATTATTATTTGAGTAATGCCAAGGCAAAACCTGTAAGTGAATATTAGGCATCAATAAGGTCTTATTGATACCTCAAAATTTGCTTACAGGTTTTGCCTTAGCATTACTCATTTTTAATCTGAATATTGAGTATGAAATTCGGAGATTAACGTAACCTGTCACAGGTTTTTTATTTGCTAAACTTAAATACTGATTACACAACTAATCTCAAAGGTTATTGTTTATTGAATATTATCAGGTTTTATGAGTTAATTAACAAAGCTCGAACCTGACCCACTACTTTAATAGACCTGGCCCAAGCCCAACCCAATTTATAACAAGTCTAAAATTTAGGCCTGACCCGGGTTCAAACCTGACCCGACCCACAAAATATCAGGTTAAATCCAGCCCGTTCTCCACTCTAGTTGCAATAATTACAGATTTAAAGTAGTAATCACATTCTGGCTAATAATGTTAAACTTAATTTTCTTGCTATAGTATTAATATTTATTTAATAAATCTTTAATTGTTTAATACAAAACTTATCAATATTTAGAAGTAAAAAAAGTTGTAATTGGTATTTGTTTTTGGACTTTCCATATATATGCCTGTAGTTGTTATTAATTTATACAAAAATTTTAGTTTAGCAAGCTTAAGGTTAGATTCTGAATTAGTCTGCTCTTTATATTGTAAAACAGTTTGTATTATATTATACATCTCTTTGGCTATAACAGAAAGAGGAGAAGGCTCTTTATTATTATTATTACTTTCTTGTTCTTGTTTGTTTTCTTCAGCTTGAACCATAGTAATTATTTCTTTATCATTGAGCATTTCTTTTATTGCAACAGGTTCATTGATTATTTAAATATACCTTTTCATAGACTGAGCTATTTTAGAAGCTTCAGAATTATTACTTGATGACAAATCTATAATAATTTCTGCAACCTCATCATCTAGAAAATCATCTTCAGATTCTTAATTTGTAATTTCCATCTTTATCTCACTTATATCTAAAAGAATTCTCATCTTACTTCAGCAATTCTGAAAAGTTATATCAGATACATCATACTATGACTCTGCAATAAAATCGATTGCTTGCTTCATACTTAGTTTATTTCTATAAATAAAAAAGGTTGAATTAATAAAATAAATCAAACAAATAAGAGTTATAAAATATAAGAATTTACTAACCTTTCTAAATTAATATTAAATATAAATTGATTAATAACATGTTTGCAATAGAGGTTTTTGTACTTAGATTTAAACAATCTAATAATTTTAGCATCTAACAGCTGTAGATGTGCAGTTGTGTTAGGTGGAAGATAATACAATTTAATATTTGTGAGCTTGAATTTGCTAGAAGTATTGTTTTGTTCTTTATGTGATTTTTTACTAGCTATTTCATTTAAATTTATTTATAGTTTTTCATAAGTTTTTCAGTGAGTTTTTTTTGAATACTTTGATGAGTACTTTTGTGAGTTCTTTAGTGAGTTCTTCTATAAGCTCTTTCACAAGGTTGAGCATAGAATTATCATTCTTATTACCTTTAGAATTAGAAATTTCATTGTTTTTACTAGTTTCAGAAATAAAATTTTTTTTATTTTTATTCTCAAAGTTTAATATATTGTCTTCAGGTCTTTGATCTCTATTATTAGTAATATTATTAGAAAAAGCAAGCATTTTTAATGCACTATGTGATCTAGCATTATTCACAATAAGCAAAACCTATTTGTTTAGATATAGAAGCCTTGATCATAATATTTTAACTATCTTTTTTAAATATTAAACCTTATTCATACATATTTATTATCTTTATATATAACTAGAAGTTGTGATATCTTTATTTTTTTGAAAGATCATAGTTTTTTTAATTTATCAATAACTAGCAGCTTGAGTTTGTGCAATTCAGTTGCATTTGTAGCTAATAATATAGTAAGTCATAATTTGTTCTAAATAGTAATAAGCAATGTGTATATTAATTACTAATTTTATTAAATAGAAAAGTAAGATTAATTTCTACCTGTTTTTTGCCAGAAACTGCTTGCTGCACTAATGTCTGATTTGGTAACATCTGATAAAATAATCTGGTTTCATCAGCATTATATATATTCTTGAATTCATATTAGAAAAGAAGTTATTTTAGCTTAATTTTATCATCTGCTAAAGTCTTTAAAGGTGCACTTACAACCTTATCATTAAATTTGTATTGATGTAAAAAATTTTGCTTCTTGAAGTTTGAGATCTATCTGTTTGAGAACTTAAGATCATTTTTAGGAATACCAAGATAATTACTAAATTCATAATCTTTAATTTCATCAACTTGTCTAAAAGAACTATAACAGCAAAGAAGGCTTGATTTACTTAAATTATTATTGCTGTTTTAAGCAAGAGATACTTTGGTAGTTTATTTTTACATGATTTTGTATTACAATACTTTCTTTATGATAAAGATATATTTCACTTTTTTTAAAATTTTAGTGATAGTTGATCTATCAAAATTTAGTATAGAATACTTTTTTATAAATTTATTCGCAATGTTTTGATGCCTAGCTGCTGGTCTTGCCTTAGCATATTTACATATTTCTTTATGCTAGGCATTGCTTAATCTGCTACATATCTTTTTAACTGCATAATTAGGAGGCATAATTTGAAAAGAAAGGTGCATATGTATAAGACTCAGTGTAAAGGTTTTAAAAAAGAAAAAAAGATAGCCAAAAAAAAACTTTTTTGGTTAAGACAAAGCATAAATTAAAATAAAAGGTGCATGTATTATGCATATATACAAAATACAGTATAAAGGTTTTTTTTAAAAAAAAATTCTCATAAAAAAAACTTTTTATAGGGTAAAAAAAGTATAATTAGAAGAAAAAATATGTGCATCATAAAAAGAAAAAAAAAAACATAATTTGAAAGGAAAGGTACATGTATATATGTACAAGATATTGTATAAACTTTCAGTATCTAAGTTCATGAGGTAAAGCATAATTAGAAAAAAAAGTGTATATATTATATATATGTACAATATCTTAGAGAAAGAAAAAAATAAACTTATAGCTCATAAAGTTATATAATCTGAAAAAAAAATATGTGTATACAAGATATTATATATGCAAGAAAAAAAAAAATACTTGATTAAAGCTAAGACTTTTAATCAAGAAATTAAGTAGTCCAGGTCTGTTGAGACTATGAGCTGTTTTTTTAACTAATATTTGTTAAGACTACACTTTTATATATATTGTTATCTAAAGCTTTATGTAAAATATAGCTACAAGCATATTTATAATCCTGTAATCAGTATTGTTATAGTAAGTTCATGATCTTTGTAAAACTCTTAGTGTGACCTTGAGACTACAAAAAAGACAAAGTGTGCACTTAGAACACATGCAACTACAGAGATACTGTATGTATGTACATGCATTTATACAGTGCTAATTTTTGCTTATATAATTGATGATTATATCGAATAAATTTATTATATACTTAATAATTATTGTAATACAAAATTCAGTAACTGTAATTATATTATGTTTTTTTTTTTTTTTTATATTAAACTAGCCTCTTTTGGGCCTAGGGTTTTATCCAGTAAATTGGACATAGGGACTCGTGGCCGAAGCCTCAAAGAAGTCACTTTACATTAAAGAGTACAATTAGCCATATGTATACTTTTGGTGTCTAATTTAAGTAGTCCACCATTGGTTCTATACTAGCTGCTATACTTGCAACCTAACTAGGGGCATTGCCTATTTAAACTTTCTGTACTGCAATTCTTACTGTGTTACTAGATCATCTCTAATACAATCATCAGTCAAGAAGGTCTAGATACTTTTACATATTTCCCTTAGGACCCTATACCTTATTTTATGCAGTATATCCTCAAAAGCATTATTACTAGAATCTTTCATGTCCCACACACAGCTGACCTAGTTTTATATAACATGCTATAGTTACCTAACACTTGCAGTTACAGGGGTTATCTGTTTAACTACTATGTTATACTATTTCTATTCTTGTAAAGTTTACCCAAACCTCAGTACCTATTATTTCAACTTCTTCTCTTCATCTCCCTACTATCCAACTCAGAATCCAACAGATTTCCAATTTAGATAGCCTGGTATGGTATACTTTAGTATCCTTTTCCTCTAGTGATTCTGGCTGCCTGGTTGGTTATATGCTCCTCTACACATCTTTCCATTCAGTTGCATGTCTGCTTATTCTTTATTGGAGTTTTCTGGGCTTCCATCAGTCTGATAGCACTGTTGAAGACTTGTGCTACTCTTTATTTGGGAATTTTTAAGTGGCTTCTGTCTTCTTTGTTTCTTGGTCTTCTACATCTGATGGTCTTATCATGGGTTTGCACTGAAGTCTTATGCAACACTAGTTATTAACATTTCTCTATATACATATAATATTACACTTCGCATAGATACCTGGGCTCCCAATGACAAGTAGAACTCAATTGGTTGTACCCAAGATTACAGATACCTAAATTCAACTGATTGACAAGAGACAGTTTATTGTAACACAGATTAATTACCAAATTTTGTCATAGGTAGAATTTGAACCTTAGACCTGCCACTTGAAGGATAACAACCCAACTACTACATTAGGATCACCATCTTCGTAATTATATTATGTTTGTAACTATATTAAGAGTAAAGTAATATAAAATTAATTGATAAAAATAAAATTATGACTATATCGAGTTTGTAACTATATCAAGTATGACTATATCAAGGTGTGACTGTATATTATTAATTTGCAAACAATAAATATCAATTGAATGCTATATATTGATTAATTTCTATAAAAAAAATTTCTTGATAAAGTTTAACTAAAAAATAAATACTGAGTATAACTAATATAGTTAGTATAATACAAAGTTATAATTAGTAGTATATTAGAAGATTTATTTTTAGTAAATAGATACAAATTAATTGTTAACAAAGAAAAAGCTTAGTATATTTAATTTTATAATATAAAATTAAATAAACTATTACTCAAATAGAATATATCACAACTCTCTTTACTGATCCTTAATTCCAAAAAAACAAGAAAAAACAAAGTCAAAAACAACAGGAAATAGACTAGCAAATACCCTTTAGACAAATAACAAAAAAGCTGTATCAAAAAAATATATATATAATATAGTAAAAGTTAGAAGACAAAGAAAGCTGCACTAAGATATTAACAAGAAACAGCAATCTTTTTAGCAAAAAAGTAAAAAATTTTGTGGAATTAGCATTATTCTGAAAAACAGAAAACAAAATGTGTAATAACTGTAACAATAACAAACAACAACAAACAAACAGGTCTTATGTCTAATTAAGAAATAGCAAGCACTATTATAGAACCAGTAACATAGTACTAACAAGATACTAACAAATATTACAAAGTTTAATTATAGATATTCATTAGCCTAAAAAGGAAGATCTTGATCCAATCATTAGAATATAAACCAATGAATAAAAATTGCAACACAGATATTATATCCTATATTAGAGGAATAGAGGATAGAAACTGAAGACATATAGACTGTAGAATTCTGGACCAAGTTCTTAAAACTTCTACACAGAACCCAAGTAATATAGAGTTCATTGCTAAAGAATTAGCAATATATGATCCAAAACATATTATACCATATGATATATTAGTATATGGTCAAATACTAGAAACATTAAGAATAGCAAAAACAAGCTGGCTTAAAGAAGAAATAATCAATAAGTGGGCAGTAAAGCTTAAGTTAATAAGCTTCAATTCAAACTTATTTGAATACAATACAAATATAAACAAAGAAAAAACATATTAAGAAGAAAGAAGAACAAACAATGAGTAAAAGCTTGAAATATTAGAAAAACAAATAGAAGATCTTAGTATTGCTATATCACATTATTAGAAAAATCAAATGACCAATAAATATGAAATGCTAAAGAGTAATGTAATACAGAAAATAGAGAAAAACAGTGAAAAACAAACATGGAATTAGAAAAACAAGAAGAAAAACCAACTGATGAAGAAACCAGCACTGCATTTCTAGCATATATGATTGAGCATAGTCGATAGTCTTCAGAAAACAGAATATGCAACAAAAACAAATCCTTTAAGGCAAATATGCCAACTTATGCTTTATTAGGTGAATCTAAAGAAGAAAGAGTAAAGTATGTCTAGTGGATTCTAGGAAATAACTATCACATCAAAACAATCAAAGAAGTATTCAAAAATGAGAATAATTGGATAGAAGTAGATTTTGATTGTAAACATAATAGAGACATGACAATAGACAGAATTAGAAAAAAAAAAGATGAATGGCTTAAACTTATTTCAGAAGAGAACAAAAGTAAAAGTTAAGAAACAGAGCATCAAGAGAAACACAATACTAAAAAAGAAAAAGGAAAAAATATAAATCAAATAGAAAAAGATGAAGAACTAAGAAGAACAAGAGAAGTAAAGAAACAAGAAAAAGGGAAAAAAGAAAAAGATGCCATAAAGAGAAGTATGATAATAGAAAATGGTGAAGACAAAAGAAAGGAATTGCAAGAGGAAAAATGGTTAACTAAATGTGATCTACCACCAAATATTAATGAAAAAGAGATTAAATATATGTGCAAAAAATTCAAAAACTTGAACATTATATGAGTCAAGAGATCACTATACAAAGCATTGGCAGTAATAATAGTGAGCTT